TTGAAATCACAAGCTAATTGCAATTATACGACTTTTCATGAAAGAATAGTCATCCTTGGGGCACCTGGGTGGCTCAGTCAGTTAAGCATCTGCCTTTGGCTCAGGTCATGATCCCAGGGTCCTCGGGCTCTGTGCTCAGCAGGGAGTCTGCTTTTCCCTCTCCCTCTGCCCACCACGCCCCCCCCCCGTTCTCTCTCTCTCTCTCAAATAAATATAAATAAGGAACCATCACAGCCTCTCCACAGCTCAACCCAACCCATGGGACTGTGGCCTCCCTACAGCTGGGAGCCACAGTTTACCATCTTGGCTGGCAAAGAGCCCAGCACAACTCGTAGAAGGAGGCATGAGGTGGAGGGAAGGAGTTGCAGGCGAGCCCTTCCAAAGGCCCAGTGCTATGGTGCTTTTGATTTATTTTCTCCTTCGAGCCGTCCAGAAAACCACACGAGAAAACTATTGTTGCCCCCATTTAATGGTAAGGAAGCTCAGAAAGGGAAAGTGACTTGGCTAAGGGCTCACAGCAAGGAAATGATGACAGATTCAAACACAACTGAGCCCAACACCAAAGCAGAGTTAGTGCTTATAAAGACCTGGCAGGTATTCAGTGACTACAAGACTCTGGTAGGCTCCTGCCCGTGGATGGGGCTCGGCCAGCCTCCCTTCCTGATACTTCCAACGTGTTCGTACAGACACATGCTGCGTGACCTGGAGCCCAGCCCCGCGCAGGGCAGAGGGAACCAGGAAGGTTTTGACTACAGTAACTTGGCGGGGGGGGGGGGCTTCCTGGCCCCCTGACCTTGAGGCGGTGGTGCAGAACAGTGGTGACAGAGCTCTGGGACTGCTGGCTGTACCCTGCAGGGAACGGGCAGACCAGATTGGCAGGGCCACCTGCACGGCCCAGGTCAGGACCTGGGCCCGACTGCTGGGCAGAGCAGAGCGTTGCCCCGGAGACAGTCCCCAGGCCAGGCAGCAGCGGCAGGGGGGAGCTGCCAGCTCCTAAGTGGCAGAAGTCTGGTGGCGGCACAGCCCCCAGCCTCTTCCATGGAGACGGCACGGCAGCTCCGCCTCAAGGTCCCCCAGGCTGGTCACTGCTCCCTTCCCCATGGACGGGCCCCGAAGGAGGGCGTGTCCGGGGCCCAGCAACGGAGAGGGGCAGGTGCAGGGCCACGATGTGCCTTCATGGGCTGAAGGTCTGTCTCCAAATGATCCACCATCAACGCCTTTGGGCCCTGTTCCCATCTCAGACCCCCACCTCTTCCTTTGGTCTGCCCCCCACCCCCTTTGCTCTCTGCCTCAGCTCCCAGGTCCACCTTCCTGATCTGAGGCTAAGCGCATGGCCTCCCAGGCTGAACAGCTTCTAGACGGGAGTCTGTCTGTGCTGCATGGGGACCCTTGGACCCCCTCCATGACCTTTGTCTGTCTGTCTGTCTTTCTTTCTTTTTTAAGCTTTTATTTTTTTATTTGTCAGAGAGAGAGCACAAGCAGGGGGAGCAGCAGAGGCAGAGGGAGAAGCAGGCTCCCCGCCGAGCAGGGAGCCCGATGCGGGGCTTGATCCCAGGACCCTGAGATCATGACCTGAGCCCAAGGCAGACGCTTAGCGACTGAGCCACCCAGGCGCCCCTCCATGACCTTTTTCTGGCCAGCCCTCTACCTGTCCCTCTCAGAGCACTTTACCCTTTCTCGGCCCAGACCCTGGCCTGGGTTTGCCTCCCTAGTCTCTGTCCCCTGATCTTGGTCTGTGTCTCAAGGCCGTTCTCTATTCTCCTGGCCTGGCTGTCCTCGGCGTCTGAGAAATTACCCATCCAGCTTCTATTTCTCTGTCCGTCGCCCTCTGTTGGCCTGTCTGTCACCCTAGCCCCCATCTTCCTCTCGCACTGGCCTGGCTGCCGCCATTCTCTCTGTTCCTTCGACCTCAGCATCTGCATCCGGTTTATCCTTAGCCTAGGTGTCCAGTCTCTGTCTCTTGTCCTACTAGACTTCTCCCTGGGCCTGAAACTGCCCCTGTCAAGCCAGGAACCCCTCCCCAGGTGTGCTTCCCTCCTTCTCCCTGCCCCCCCCAACATCGGAGCTTGGGAGAAATCTGTCCGGAGCTCTCTACTCTGAGCGGTGGCTCCTCTCAGCCCCTTGTGTTCCATCTACCCACAACTCCCATTTCCCTGCAAAGCTCTCCTTGGCTGGCTGGCTTGCATGCGCCCCCCAGCCCTCCCCACCCCTCATCCT